TTATAGCTTCATAGTTTATTCTCTGGAGAAGGCAATGGCACCCCACTCCAGTATTCTTGCCTGGAGAATCCCAGGGACGGGGGAGCCTGGTGGGCTGCCGTCTACGGGGTCGCACAGAGTCGGACACGACTGAAGCGACTTAGCAGCAGCAGCAGCAGTTTATTCTCTGCAGCTCCACAAATTTCTGTTTTCAAAAGGGTGGGTTTTATTTAAATCTAAATGACTTGATCAAATCAGCTATGAAGGATTTTGATGAGATCTAGCAGACCATGCACAAAGTATAGCAAGAATTTGGAATACTCTTTTAAGAGAGCAGTTATTATCGTTATTAATGATTCCACATCACCAGTTATATACTGAGTAAGATAAAAGGAACGTGCTTGTGTTGTGACTTAACCTTATTTTATTATTTTTGCAGTGAAATTAGAGTGATATTTTCATCTCCTGCTTGTCTGACTGCAAGTTTTTTAAAGAAGAGGTAATGTTTATATTACCTCTTAATTAATGTTTATATTTAGAGAGACTTACCTTTATTTAAAACACTAGAGAATATTTTAAATGAAATATTTAGACTCAGTCATTTTAATTTGTGAATTTTGTTATCTATGAACCAAAAATCCAACATAGAAAACTCCATGGATTATTACAGAATTCTGTTTTATAAAGGAATTTCCCATTGGACTACTACAAATTGTAACCTCTAATTTACATTGTTCCTTCCTCTACCCTGCCCTCCTGTGTTATCTGATTGGCAAGAATGGTGTTTTGTTTTTTTGTTTTTTTTCAGAATCTTTGTATCTAGGAGTGATCAATTCATTCTAACTTCACTTTTGTACGTAGAGGCCAGGGCTGCACTTTGAAGGTCTTATTGTGAGCCCAGTAAGGAAAACAGATCCTATTTATTTTATCTTTAACTATTAAGAGTCTTACTACCACAGAGGAGAGTCCAAGTTCTCTGCTACTTGGTTTGACATTTGATCTTAGTACTTTAAATGTTTCCTCTGTTAAATGCTGAACAGTTGGTCAACTGTTCCTTCCCCTCCCCGTTTGATCGCCAATAATATACCTGGGAATGATTGGCAGATAAAGTGAAGCAGATTAAAAATTGTAAGAGTTTATTAAAGTGAACATCTATTTGAATCACACAGCACCAGTTTGGAATTGGTTGAGAGCTCCAGTGGCAAGAGGTCAGGGAAAGACAGAGAGAAGGCACAGAAAGAAAGGGAAGTATTTGATTAGCTGTAACTTAAAGCCTAGTTGGCTTTTTTTGTTTGCTTTTTGATTGGTTGTCCTTAGGCTTTGATTTCATAACTTTGAGGATTTACAGGCTTAGATCTTGGCTTGCTTTTATAGGCCACCGTGGCCTGAGATCCACTGCAGTGTGACGGCCTCCTTGTATAATTAATTTAGCAATAACAAGGGAGTGGGGTGGGTAGCAGCAGCAGCCCTTAGGCTAACCTCGGGCTTACCTGCTGGCTCAGACAGTTAAAAGTCTGCCCGCCATGCGGGAGACCCGGGTTCGAACCCTGGGTTGGGAAGATCCCCTAGAGAAGGAAATGGCAACCCACTCCAGTATTCTTCCCTGGAAATTTCCACGGATGGAGGAGCCTGGAAGGCTGTCGTCCATGGGGTCACAGAGTCGGACATGACTGAGCGACTAACATTAGGTTGCCCTCTGTCTTCTCCAGAGGCTGATGCCTACGGGTCTGCTTGCAACTGGTGGAAACTCCTCCCAGTCCTCCTTTGACTTGGCCTCAGCTTGGCTCACAGGTTCAGAAGATACCTGTATACAACTGCCACTAGGCGGTACTCTGTACTCACTTAATCCCTATTGCAGGTATTTCTCAGCTTTGGTTCTTAACCCAGCTGCATTCTCAGCCACTCCTCAGGGAGACTGGAGGAACTGCTGGATCCAGAGGCTTCACCTGGGAACCAGAGAAGCCCAGGGAAGCTGAATGTCATGACTTCCTTCACCCGCTCTTCAAACTCCACAGCTCATGAGGCAGTTATCATTCGAGAGTCCCATAAGGCATCCCTGTTTGTCTCCACATATTTAGCCAAAGGCAGGAGATGAGAAATTAAGACGTTGCTTCTCTCTGCTCGCTTTCTCTCCCATTTGCCTTCCTCTTCTTTCCGTCCTTCCAGGCAGCAAAGGAGGGGATTCTACCATGCGACTCATTCTCTTTCTTCACCACTGTAGCCTTAAGCTAGTTCTCACTGCATAGAGGATAATCTTTTCTACACTAAGAATATTATCTTTCTAAAATTTCCATGTCCCATTCCCAGGAGTGAGAAATCTTAAGGTTTGATCTTAAGATGCCAAAGGTTGCAAAGGGAGATTTATTTTAAAGGGAAATTTACAGCACTTTGTTTTTGTACTTGCATGAATGTTTTAGCCCTAGTATTACAATTGGTTGGTTAATCCAGTAAACATGAAATATTTTAAAATAATACATTATGAAGACAAATTGTTAAATAGAATGCAGGCTCCTCAAATATAGTCAGCACAACCCAGGGAAATGCCACACCTAGACAAAGCCTTGGTAGTACTGCTGAGGGGCATAGCCAGGTTTGGATTTTTTTAAATTAGCAATTTAGAATAAGGCAGGTCTTTTCAATGTGGGAAGGGAGGGTTGGGGATTTGACTAGGATTGAGGAAAGGTACCACAATGGAGAAGGAAATGGCAACCCACTCCAATATTCTTGCCTGCAGAATCCCATGGAGGGAGGAGCCTGGTAGGTTACAGTCCATGGGGTCGCAAAGAGTCGGACACGACTGAGCGACTTCACTTCACTTCACTTCACCACAATCCAGGACAGTTGGAAACATCAAGGCAAGGATTTTGAGACAAGAGATGCAAAGAATTATAGGGCATAAACTGTTGATTGTGTTCCATAGAGGAGTTAATGGGTCTTTTCAGGAAGTTCCTAAAGTGAACAGTCAAGCCATTGGCCTGGGCAGGAGTGTCTTGGAATAGTTAAGTCATGCTAATGAAACAGTGGAATCCCAAAGTAATGTAAATATAGATGGTAAGAGAGGTGGGGTTAGGGAGTTTCAATTCCCAGTGTGCAGGCTGAGTGTAAGGGTAAATTATTTCAGTTCTCAGACACGGCATGTAAACTTTTGCTATTGTTAACTGTCCAAACTTGAGATAATAAATTGTTACCTATTTTCTTTTAGGAAAACAAGTTTTATAAAAAATTTTTTGGTTTCAAGTAAATCGAAGATTTCAAAAGAATGCAAACTTTAAGTAAAAAAGATTATACCTAATATGTAGGAAAAATAAAATTACACATAATGATATATGAAGTTAGAAATATTCCTTTAATCTGTTTATTTATTTTTGCATTTCCTGCATCCAAAGAGAATCTGGAGAAATGATTTCCATTGATGTGGACTTAGAAATGGCAAGAGATACCTTCAAGAAGTTAACAGAAAAAGAATGGATTTCTTCAATGGTAATAACCAATATTCACTTCAGAAATAGAGCAATGGAATTTCTTTATAGGAACCAATATGATTACAGTTAATTTTCCTAGGATTTGAGTGAGATAGAAGTGTGATAGAGGAGGGCTCAGGTTTATTATGTGGTTACTGTATTGCATGTATGTGTTAGTCACTCAGTTGTGTCCGACTCTTTGAGACCCCATGGCTTGTAGCCCACCAGGCTCCTCTGTCCATGGAATTCTCCAGGCACGAATACTGAAATGTGTTGCCATTTCCTTCGGCAGGGGATTACTGGAAAAACCATAGCTTTGACTAGACACACCTTTGTTACTGAATGCTTAAATGTACAATAGATACAATATTTTTATTGTCAGTATGAGAAAAACAATGTTTAAGAAGTATAACTTATGAAAAGAGCATTATGGAATTCATATGTTTGGGGACCTACCAATAGCTGGATTGACAGAAGAGTTCTACTCTTGTACAGAACAGCTAGGAATAAAGGTTTATACACCAATTTTAGGGAAAGGGGAGAAAGGACTTCTGTGAGAAAACAAATGAACTTTCCAGGGAAACAGAGGGGCTTTTAGGGGGATACATGGAAGATAGGATAGTTTGCAATAATGTTTGTTTATGCAATTTCCCATCCAAGTGCAAGTGCAGGGTCTTTTCCCTGGCAGTGTAGCTCACTTGCCTGCCCAGTTAGAAGGAGATTTATGGGTACTTCATTCTTGAAGCCTCTGCTTTTAGCCAGATGAGAAAAGCTCTGGGAAAAAAAAAAAGGAAGAAAGCTCTGAAAGCTTCTTTCCGTTCATTCTTCTATTAACTGTATCTCTGTCTGATGTCTTCCGTTTAAAATCACCTTTATACTGTTGAGAACTTCCCCGGTGGCTCAGACGGTAAAGCGTCTGCCTGTAAGGTGGAAGACCTGGGTTCAATCCCCGGGTCAGGAAGATCCCCTGGAGAAGGAAATGGCAACCCACTCCAGTACTCTTGCCTGGAAAATCCCATAGACAGAGGAGCCTGGTAGGCTACAGTCCATGGGGTTGCAAAGAGTCGGACACGACTGAGCGACTTCACTTTCACTTTATACTGTTGTGGGTCCCTACGTTTTGAAGGGAAAGGGGCAGAGTGTTTCTTCATATGCAGTAGAAACTATTTTAACTTTCAGAGTTAAAAAGTAAGAATAGTAAATGTGATCAAGTATATTTTTAAAGTAAGTATTTAGGTGATGTGGGAGATTACTTGGTGTGCTGTTCTCAATATAAGTGCTAAGAAACATTAGTTTTGCAGAACACTCTATGAAAAGGGGCTCTTAGTGAAGCAACTTTGGGAACACTGCATACTATTATGGTGTCATGATGCGCACAAGTAAATCAAATACTTTATGATTAAAGTTATATGCCAAAAGAAATCTAGCTTTTTTGACCCTATTTTGACGCTATTTGACTTTGTACACCTTTCTCATGTATACCTAGTAGCATTCAACAGAAGTCATGTTCTTCTGAACATATGAACAATCAAATTGCAAGAACATTAATAAAATAATAACAATAATATACAGTACTTCACAGTTTATTGTATCATGTATCATCTTATTTAATCCTTATGACATGTAGAGGCAGACATTCATAGTTAAAGAGTATCTAAGATCTGTTAGAATAAATAAACTATTGGTTCAGAAACTGGCTCCTGTGATCAGAGGACCAGGAAAGACTGAAGAAAAAGACAGTCACTCCAGATTGGAAGGTGGCAGGTTTAATAAGCCAGGGAATTTACAAGGTTTGTCTTGGGTGATACTAAGATGAGTAGGTCTCTACACCCACCCCCTGGAATCTTCAAGTTCATACAGAGGCATTAGCTGCTGGGTTCAGTCACATATACCATCCAGATGGTCTCAGAATACCTTACTCTCTGAAGGCAGGGTCCTTGGAACACACCCACTGTGGGAACAGTGGGCAGAGCATACATTCCAAACACGTGGGAGTGGGTGAGGAGGCTTTGATTTGCCCAGGTCTAGTTCAAGGGGCAACATTGTCTTGATTACCTCTTCCAAACATAAGCTCCTCCAGCTTCCAAATCTCAATGACTTATTCACACAGTAAAGATTTTTTATCTCACAGCAAAGTCCAAAGAAGGTTGAGGTAGGAAGCACCTGTAGGGAAGGGAAAAAATATTATTTTTCCTCTCTTTATCTTAGTTTCATTGGCTGGGACCTTGCAAATTACACTGAGAAAAGACAGACGAACAAGAGAAAAGCAAGTTTATTAACATGTGCATCCTGCATATACATGGAAATACTTAGCGATGAGTAACTTTAAGGAGTGGTTAGAATTGGGGCTTCTATAGCAACTTAGCAAATGAAGAACAATAATTTTGTAGAGAAGTGAAAAGACCAAGGAAAAGGACTTTGAGCTTCTTGGATGGCAAATGGTGGGAAGGCAGATATATGAAGAAAGTAATGGTAGATAATGGCTAGGTATTAAGGTTTGCTGTGTGGCGATTTCATTAGGGCCAGCTCAGCTCTGTTAGTGAGACTGTTATGCCCTTCTTGATACAGGAAGTTGTGGACAGGAGGACACCTTGATGAGGGGAATTTATATTCTGTTTTCAGAAAGATGGGGGAGGCCAGAGAGCACATTCTGTGTTTACTTTTTCTCACTTGCCTTCAGCTTAAAATAATTGTCATGTCAGAGTGGCATATTTGGGCATGGCAGATTCTGTTACCTGCCCTGCCTCTGCCCAGACTCATTCAGGGGTGTCTCAGGCTCCTTCTCTGTGGCATTCTAGGCCCCAGGGCCATAAAATTCTCCGGTAGATCTTTCATGTTGATTGGCAAATGAGGAAAAGGGGTGTGAAAGGTCACAGAGAGGCTTTAGGGGTCAGGCCTGAAAGTATCATACATCACCTCCCCTCACATTCCATTAGTTGGAACCTGGTCACATGACTCCACCTAACTGCAGGGAGGCTGGGCAATGCTATCTTCCTGTGAGCCCTGAGGAAGATGAAACAGGATTGATGAGGTGAACATATGCCATTTTCTCTGCTATGGTATATTTTAGGTCAGATAGATTTAGGTATGGATCCCATCTAATTAAGCAACCTTCACGATTTGTTCAGTAGGTCCAGGCATGTGATTTCACTTTTATTTCTTTAATTAACTCCAACATAAAATAGGGAGGATGGTTCTCACATACTACTTTAGGGGGTTTGGGGATATCAAGGAGTGATGGAGTTTGAATAGTAGGTTTTAGGAAAACCAAATTATTATTCCATTAGGAACATAGTAGATGTGAAACCTCTCATATCTTGTTCCTTATGATACTGTATCTAATATGTCCTGGGCCTTTCCCTGATTGTTGTTCAACCACAGATAACCACATGTCTCAGGGATAATCTGCTTGGGGCTCTTCCATGTCGTTCTCCACACCAAGAAGCTTTATCAGTCTTCCTTCTGCTCCCAGAGTGTCCTGTCATGCTTGATTTCAGGAACTGGATAACTCTGATGGTTCCATTTGCAGAGGCTGTTCATAAAATGACCAATAAATCTTCAAAAGTACTGAGTAAGCTTGATTACTTTTATGTCACTTTATCTATATTCTCAGTAGAATACTGTCTGAAATAGAATTTGTAACAAATTTTAGATAGATTTGAAAATACTATACAAATGTTTGAGTATGTGGTATGTGTATTATTGAAAAGATTAACCTAAAGCTATTGTCAAATTCAGGTTTGTGTGCCCGATAGGCATTGAGGCCAAACAAACAGAAGCATTGAAGTTTGGGGCAGAGATAGGTCTATTTCAAGTGCCAAGCAAGGAGAATGGGTAGTTTGTGCTCAAAAGACCTAAACCCTCTGATGGGTTTCAGGAAAGAGTTTTTAAAGACAAACTTTCAGGGAGGGCTGCTTAGTGTGTGACTTTCTTCTGATTGCTTGGTGGTGAGGTAACAGGGTGGTGCTCCAGGAATCTCAGTCTGCAGCCTTCTGGTTGTTAACCGTCTGGGGTTCAAGGGCTTGTGATCAGCCTGAAGTTACCATCCTCCACCTGAGTGAGTCTTAGTTCCTGTAGAACTCAGAGATATATGTCAAACTGTTTTATATATCCTTGGAGGAGGAACCAGGACCCTGCCCCATCCCTCCACTATTGTTTCTTGACTGCTTTTCCTTCGTTTCTGCATTCCCCCACTTTCCTAATGAGTAACAGTTTGGATCTGCCCTTTGAAATTCAGGGAAGGTCTAGGAGGCTGAAGCCTTTTCCCTGCAAACAAGAAGCAGGGAAGACACAGGAAGGCCCTTGTACTAAGGAGCGCCCCACAGGATCCTGCTTGATTTCAAAACTATTATAATGGGCTTCCTTGGTGGCTCAGTGAATCCTCCTGCATTGCAGGAGACACAAGAGATAAAGGAAACACAAGAGACATGGGTTCAAATCCTGAGTCGAGAAGATCCCCCGGAGAAGGAAATGGCAACCCATTGCAGTACTCTTGCCTGGAAAATCCCATGGACAGAGGAGCCTGGAGGGCTGCAGTCCACGGGGTCTCAAAGAGTCAGACACGATTGAGTAGATAATCATTACTCTTATTATTACAAAACATGTGTAATTCCTAAACTTGGTCATGGACTCGACCTCAGAATTTCACAACCGTAGAGAATCCAGTCAAGATAAAACCATACTTTAAAATTTTTTGTTTATGGTGGTTTAAAACTTTAGGTATTTTGATCAGACATAAGGGGGAAAGTGTTCATCTTTGTGTTCTTGTTTTTTATTTTATTCAGTGATTTGGGATGTCCTTTTATGACTTTGAGCTAATGTTCAAGGTCTAAAGCTTGAAAGATACAAAGATGATATATGTGGTGAAATAACCACCTAATTTCCCTCCCACAAAGCAGTTACAGAGTAGAGTTTCTTACATAACTTTTGAAAGATACTCTATAAAAACATATAGAAATATATTCTTTTTTTTTCAAATGGTAGCATACATTCTTCTGCAACTTGCTTTTTTCCACAAAGCACTATATTATGGAAATCATTATATTACCTGACTTATATGAATGCTTTATTCCAATTTAATGGCTGAATAGTATTCTATTCATGTACATGACTAGTTGTTTCTAAATTTTTGCTCTTATAACAGTTCTAACATACATTTCTTTGTATATATATATAGACCCAATCATTTTGCTTTCTGGAAATTCCCCTGCTTATAATTATATTATAATTATATATATTTAATATATGTTATACAATAATATAATATATATTTATATAAATATATGAATATATTTATATAAATCAATCTATATATATATATTTACACAAGCAGGGAAATTTTCAGAAAGCAAAATTACTGGATCATATTGTATGTGCATTTTAAATCTTGAGAGATTTTGCCAAATGACCCTCCACAGAAGTCAGGGCCACCATATTGCCCAACTTAAGTGGTCACCATTCACATTATCACCCTCGGAATTGGGCAACATGGCAGCTCTGACAGAAGATGTACCATTTATACTTCATCAGTTAATATGAAAGCATCAGCCCACACATTTCTCCACAGTGTAATCCTAACTTTGGTCTATACCACTCTGAAAAGAAGATCTATTTTTTTTTTTCTTTTTTGGCCCTGCCACATGGCTTGCTTGTGGAACCCATGCCCCATGCAGTGGGAGGGTGAAGTCCTAACTACTGGACTTCCAGGGAATTTTTAAGAATATCTTAATTTAAATTGTCTCATTATGAGTGAAGTTGTGCTGGTTTTCCTATATCCAGTTACATTTGCATATCATACTCTACAAACCATCAGTTCTGTCCTCTTACCTATTTTTCCATTTGTTGTTAGTATCTTTCTTTTCTATTTGAAGTTTTTTAAACTACTGAGACAGTTCTTTTTAAAAATGTACTTATTTTTGGCTGCGCTGAGTCTTCGTTGCTGCCTGCAGGCTTTCTCTAGTTGAGGCCAGCGGGGGCTGCTCTTTGTTGCAATGCAAGGACTTCTCATTGTGGTGGCTTCTTGTGGAGTATGGGCTCTAGGCATCAGGGTTTCAGTAGCTGTGTCTCTCGGGCTCAGTTCCTTGGCATTTGGGATCTTCCCGGACCAAAGATCGAATCTGTATCCCCTGCATTGGCAGGTGGATTCTTAGCTACTGGGCCACCAGGGAAGTCCCAACAATTAATTCTTTATCCATAAGATGAGTTGCAATTTTTTTTCTTTAGGTTACTGAAATTTTTTTTACTTTTTGGTATTTTTGCCATGCGTATTTTTAAACACTTTTATGCAGCCTACTGTATTAACATTTTCTTTTATGGTTTCTGATCTTTTCTCAAGAAGTTTACCTCATGATGAAATTTAAAGATTTCCCATGCTCCTATTAGAATATTTACTGTTTCATTCTTTTAATGAATTTTTATTGGAATATAGTTGATTTACAATGTTGTATTAGTTTCTGTTGTACAGCAAAGTGAATCAGTTATAATATATAAAAATCCACTCTTTTTGAGATTCCTTTCCCATATAGGCCATTACTGAGTATTGAGTAGAGGTCCCTGTGCCATACAGTAGGTTCTTATCAGTTATCTATTTTATATATAGTAATGTGTTTGTATCAACCCAATCTCCCAATATATCCGTCCCTCCATTGTTTCATTTTTATGTTTAAATCTTTGAACCATATGGAGTTTATCTTGATTACACTTCATTTTTTGGGATCAGTTTCCAGTTGTCACACATTTATTAAGTGACCTGTTTCATTCCCTAATAATCACAATGCGTCTTTCATCATATACTAATGTCTCATGTATATTTGATTCCATTTGTGGAGCCTGCTACATTGTCTGCCTTTCATGCATCTGGGTCATACTATTTTAATTACATTAACTTGAAAATACATTTTAACATTTGACTTGTTTGTTTTCTGCAAATTTTCTTTTAAAGGTGCAGAAATTCAGTTTGTAACTCAGTGATACTAAAATATTGTTACTGAGCTAATTTAAAAATACATTCATCTATCATAGGTGATCATAAAGTCTGAAAACAGATAATTTTTTTTCAGATTAAAATTGTCCTTAATCACATTTTGTGTCTTGTGTGTATATATGTGTGTGTGCATATGTATTCTGTGTTTTCACCTGTGTATATTTTCAGACCTTATACCCTGTGGAATTTTCAGTTTGAAAATCATGAAATGAATCAAGTAATCAAGCATAAATATGAACTATCAACACATTTTTTCAGAAACCTGAATTTGAGCTTTTAATTCCAAAGATACTTAATCAGGGAGAAAATTTTTTTCCACATCTGTGAGTAATAAATATTGTCCAGGATGTTATCCTTTAAAAAGGTTATCACCTGATTTATGGGTTATGCCATCAGAAATGGAATATATGATCTATTTCTTACATTAAAGAACTTAGAAAACTGAGAGAATTTTTTTGGAAGTGCATATTTATCATGGCTGATTTTACACCCTTCAGAGCAGTGTTGGACATCATTGCAAGCATCTTCTCTCAACTCACTTGTCCAGATGCTGAAAACTGCCATCATCTATCAAATGTTTTGCTGGTCTAACACTGTTCAGAGTAACCACAATGTTAAAACTCTTCTGGAAGTGATGAAAGACGTGTATAAGGTAAGGGTTCATCTAAAGAAATGTATACACCATTTTACTAAATCAAGCTCCCTTAGTTCTTAACCAGTTGAAGTCTAATTTTATTTTTCACAGCAAGAATGAAAATATTTAATTCAGACCTGAAGTATTTAGAATTTTTGTTTTGCTAACTGGATAGACTCTGGTGGAATATCTTACATAGTATATATAATATGTATGTAGTATATATAATATATTACAGGCACAAATACTCAGATATGACAATGATTCAGCATTTTCATTAGTGTATACAACATAATCCAGAAGTAACCTAAGATTAGGCTACTAATAAACCTAATGATTATTGGAGGACAGGAAGGAGCCAGAGCATTTTAAATAAATGAGCAGAATTAAATTGGTATTATTCATTGAAAAATAATTAGCTAAAATAGATGCTTTTATAAATATAGATTGTTCAATCTGTAATCAAAACAAAAAGAAAGTGAAAGTGAAGTCGCTCAGTCATGTCTGAATCTTTGCCACCCCATGGACTGTAGCCTACCAGGCTCCTCCATCCATGGGATTTTCCAGGCAAGAGTACTGTTTCATTGCAAAATATCAGTCGCAATAGGAGAAAGTATTATGTGCAAAAGTTAGTGCTTTTCAGAAGTAATAATGCACTGATATTTCTAAAGTAGTATATTTCCTCCATCTTTATTAAGATATAACTGAAATAGAACATTGTGTATGTTTAAGGTGTACAGTGTGTTAATTTGATTTGTTGTGATTGTTCAGTCACTAAGTCTTATCTGACTCTGTGACCGTATGGACTGCAGCACACCAGTCTTTCCTGTCCTTCACTATCTCCTGGAATCTGCTCAACTTCATGTCCGTTGAGCTGGTGATGCCATCCAACCATCTCATCCTCTGTTGCCCACTTCTCATTTTGCCTTCAATATTCATCAGCATCAGTGTCTTTTCAAATGAGTCAGCTCTTCACATCAGGTGGCCAAAGTATTGGAGCTTCAGCTTCAACATCAGTCCTTCCAGTGAATATTNGTATTGGAGCTTCAGCTTCAACATCAGTCCTTCCAGTGAATATTCAGGGTTGATTTCCTTTAGGATTGACTGGTTTGATCTCCTCACTGTCCAAGGGACTCTCAAGAGTCTTCTCCAGCACCACATTTTGAAAGCAGTAATTCTTTGGCTCTCAGTCTGCTTTATGGTCCAACCTCACATCTGTATGTGATTACTGGAAAAACCATAGTTTTGACTATATGGACCTTTGTTGGCAAAGAGGTATCTCTGTTTTTTAATATGCTATCTAGGTTTGTTATAACTTTCCTTCCAATGAGCAGGCGTCTTTTAATTTCATGGCTACAGTCACTGTCCTCAGTGACTTTGGAGCCCAAAGAAATAAAATATGTTACTGCTTTCACTTTTGCCCTTTCTAGACACATATAGATTACAAAACATTTATAGTTACTGTTTATTTAGTGTGGTAAGAACACTTAAGATCTACTGTCTTAGCAACTTTCAACTATATAGTACAGTATTGTTCACTATGATCACCATGCTGTGCATTAGATCCCCAGAACTTATAACTGGAAGTTTGTACTGTTTGACCAACATCTCTCCTTTTCTCCCACCCCCAACTCTATAAACCACCACTCCACTCTGTTTCTGAGTTTAGCTTTTTTTCATGTGTAAGTGATATCTTACTATATTTGCCTTTCTCTGAAGTATTTCACTTAGCATAATATCGTCACCATCCATCCATGTTGTTGCAAATGGCAGGATTTCCTTGTTTCTCATGGTTGAATAAAGTCCCATTGTGTATATATGTATGTATCAGTGTATGTGTGTATACATATATACACACCATATCTTCTTTATCCATTCATCTGTCCATGGACACTTAGGTTGTTTATTTATCTTGGCTATTCTAAATAATGCTGAAATTAACATGGGGCTGTAGATATCTCTTTGAGCAGGTGATTTCATTTCCTTTGGCTTTATATCCAAAAGTGGGATTGCTGGATCATGTGGTAGTTTTATTTTTAATTTTGTGAGGAAGGCTTCATACTGTTTTCCATAGTGCCCACACCAATTGACATTCCCACTAATGGTGCACAAAAGTTCCTTTTTCTCCATATCCTCACCAACACTTCTCTCTTATCTTTTTAATGATAGCCATTCTAATATGCATAAGGTAATATTGCACTATTGTTTTGATTTGCATTTCCCTAATGATTAATGATTGGGCTCAAAATGCTCAAAATTCTCCAAGCCAAGCTTCAGCAATACGTGAACCGTGAACTTCCAGATGTTCAAGCTGGTTTTTAGAAAAGGCAGAGGAACCATAGATCCAATTGCCAACATCCGCTGGATCATCGAAAAAGCAAGAGAGTTCCAGAAAAGCATCTATTTCTGCTTTATTGACTATGCCAAAGCCTTTGACTATGTGGATCACAATAAAGTGTGGAAAATTCTGAAAGAAATGGGCATACCAGACCACCTGATCTGCCTCTTGAGAAACTTGTATGCAGGTCAGGAAGCAACAGTTAGAACTGGACAGGGAACAACAGACTGGTTCCAAATAGGAAAAGGAGTACATCAAGGCTGTATATTGTCATCCTGCTTATTTAACTTATATGCAGAGTATATCATAAGAAACACTGGGTTGGATGAAGCAAAAGCTGGAATCAAGATTGCTGGGAGAAATATCAGTAACCTCAGATATGCAGATGATACCACCTTTATGGCAGAAAGTGAAGAGGAACTAAAAAGCCTCTTGATGAAAATGAAAGAGGAGAGTGAAAAAGTTGGCTTAAAGCTCAACATTCAGTTAAAGGAGATCAGTCCTGGGTGTTCATTGGAAGGACTGATGCTGAAGCTGAAACTCCAGTACTTTGGCCACCTCATGCAAACAGTTGACTCATTGGAAAAGACCCTGATGCTGGGAGGGATTGGGGGCAGGAGTAGAAGGGGACGACAGAGGATGAGATGGCTGGATGGTATCACTGACTCGATGGACATGAGTTTGAGTAAACTCCGGGAGTTGGTGATGGACAGGGAGGCTTGGCGTGCTGCGATTCATGGGGTCACAAAGTCGGACACGCCTGAGCAACTGAACTGAACTGACTGAATGACTAATGATGTTGAGCACATTTTCATGTACTGTTGTCCATCTGTAAGTTTTCTTTGAAAAAATTCTGTTCAGTTCATCTGCCCTTTTTTTTTAGTTATTTTGATTATCACTGTGGATGGTAACTGTAGGCATGCAATTAAAAGAGGCTTGTTCTTTAGAAGAAAAACTATGACACACCTAGGCAGCATATTAAAAAGCAGAGACATTACTTTGCCAACAAAGGTCCATACAGTCAAAGCTATGGTTTTTCCAGTAGTCATGTACAGATGTGAGAGTTGGACTATAAAGAAGGCTGAGTGCCTACGAATTGATGCTTTCGAACTGTGGTGTTGGAGAAGACTCTTGAGAGTCCCTTGGACAGCAAGAAGGTCAAACCAACAATCCTAAAGCAAATCAACCCTGAATATTCACTGGAGGACTGATGCTAAAACTGAAGTTCCAATACTTTGGCCACCTGATGTGAAGAGCTGACTCATTTGAAAAGATCCTGATGCTGGGAAAGATTGAAGGCTGGAGGATAAGGGGACGATAGAGGATTGAGATGCTTGGATGGCATCACCGAATCAATGGACATGAGTTTGGGTAAACTCCGGGAGTTAGTGATGGACAGGGAGGCCTGGCGTGCTGCGGTCCATGGGGTTGCAAAGAGGCAGACACAACTGAGTAACTGAACTGAACTGAACTGAGGCATATATAAAAATAGATTAAGTTACTCACTGATAGAAAATAAATATCACAGGTTGTATTTTCTTTAAGGTAAACAAAATTAGCTGTCGATTATCAGAAGATATGTTCCACATAAATGAATTGTCCTTTTTGTTGAACTTCCATGAAGACAGAAGAAGAGTGCTCTGTAGGGAAAACAAACTGGTAAGAATAATATTTTACTTTCTGAATATTTTTTTGTACTTTAAAAGGGGAATACATTAATAGCTATGTAGCTTCTTTGTAAGTTAAGATCTGAAAATGCCCTCATTGTGATGCTGAATTTGCTAAAGTAGATGCTCTTGGATAACTTAAAACATCTTTCAGCCACAAAGCAAATGCATTTTCCTAGAAATTTGTTTCTAGGTAATTTAGATTCTTAAAAATGAATTCTATAAAGTATGGAGGTAAATAATTTAAGGTAGTGAGGTAAAGGAATAAAGGTTTCCTTTTCTTTTGACTATCAAAATTCTTCTGTCTTTTTAATTTTTAGATACCTGTAGAAAACTTCAGTGTGATTATTTTCAGTGATTTTCCATTTGTCTTTAATTTGGCATCCAAAGTTAAATTATTGCAAGCTGATTCCCAAATAAGAATGCTGGTATGTATGTCTTATTTTTTATTATGTAAAATTTTCAAATATATACAAAGTAGAGATAATGGTGTATTAAACCCCAGCACAAATTTTCAGCAGTCATCAGCATTTTGCCATACTTCATTTATCATTTTTTAAACTTTTTATTTGTTACTATTTTTGCTAAAGTTTCTTTTTTTGGCTGTGGCATGCAGCTTGTAGGATCTTAGTTCCCTGACAGGGCTTGATCCCTCACCCTCAGCAGTGAAAGCTCGAAGTCCTAACCTCTGGGCCACCAGGGATTTCCCATATTTTTTTTAAGTATTCTAAAGCAAATTCCAGGCCCAATTTCTTTTCACCTCTCCATATTTCAGTGCATTATTTCTGGTGGTTTCACTTTTGTTCATGCTGATTCATCAGTGGGTTCAAATGGTGACCACATTCTTCCACTGTAACATTTCCCATCAACCTTTTTTTAAAAAAAAAAATTTAAATCATAGTTGGTGTACAATATTATATAAATTACAGACATACAGTATAGTGCTTCACAATTTTTAAAGATTATACTTCATTTATAGCTATTATAAAATATTGGCTATATTCCCTGTTGTACAATATATACTTGTAGCTTATTTTGTATCTGATGATTTGTACCCCTTCCCCTCTACCCCTATATTGCCCCTCCCAGCTTCCCTCTCCCCACTGGTAAACACTAGTTTGTTCTCTGTATCTGCGAGTCTGCTTCTTTTTTGTTTTATTCACTAGTTTGCTGTAGTTTTTAGATTCCACATGTAAATGATATCATACAGTAATTTGTCTTTTTCCATATGTTGTAGTTCACTTAGCAAAATGCCTTCCGAGTCCGTCCATGTTGCTGCAAAAGGCAAAATTTTGTTAGTTTTTTTTTAATGGCTGTGTAAGTATCCCATCATTTTGCACAATTCCTTGGTGCCATAGGTCTTATGATCTCTTTGTCTTCCAAATCATAGACACAATGCTCTTTTACTTAAGTAATTGCGATATGAGTATATATAGCAATGGTTGGCATAAATGTATGCTATATAAAATGTTTATTTGAAATATTAAACAATTTCTTGTATTCCTATGAAGATTCCTAAAATATTTCTTTTTCTAGGCATCTGAAGTGAACAATTACATGGCTTTGGGGGAAATAATTCTGCAGAGAAGGGATGAATCCCCTTCATTTACACTTAGAGTCAGACGAAGTCACTTAGTTGAAGATGCTCTGAGTCAGTTAAGCCAAGCTGAAGACACTGACCTCCGGAAAACATTAGTGGTACACTAAAACTCCTCATAATATTTTTACTAATGTGTGTGGGGGAAACATTTGTATAATGTGGTACAAGGAGAACCTGTATTTGCAACTATAGTTATCAGCCTAATAGTTTCCAGGATTCCTTGCTTACCCTTCAGAGAAAAGCTCCAGGATGTTTAATTGACCATTGGCGCTATGAGTTAACTATTAGTTACCTTTGGCTATAGAGATGCTTCATAATGAACCATCCCAAAGTATAGTGACTTAAAATAGTAATTTTACAGATCTTCAGTTCTGCTGAGACTCTGCCACTCTCAGTTGAACTCATCTGGGTGGCTTTTCAGATTTTGTCTGTACCTGTTTACATGTTTGAGAGTTGGCTAGGGGTTGGTTACCTAGGCTTGGCCTGGCTCAGGCAGTTTGACCCTGACTCCTATGTTTTCCATCTTCTTCCTAGGACCCACAAACATGTTCGCATATCAGTGTCAGAGGTGCAAGATAGCAAGGCCCCTCCACACCCACCCTGCCAAGCCACCGCCAAAAAAAAGATAGCAAGCCCAGTTATACAACAAACATGGCTTTAGTCAAAGCAAGTCACATGGCTGAACCCAAGTCAGGGCTGGCAAAATATACTCAGCCTTTTTAATGAGAGGAACTGTAAGGCCACATGTGAAAGACCTAGGCCAAGGAGGGGTAAAGAATTGGGGCAATGAATGCATTCAGCAAGCGGCAGGTAGAATAAATACTTTTATTGCATTTTGGCTCTAGTTTTAGTCACAGACTTTCCACTGTGTTGGTTCCATTTCCTAGCCATCCTTCACTTCATCCTTGAGGGCATCTGTAGGGTTTTTACTGTGTGGTACCTCAGATCCTTTGCCCACAGAATAAAGATTAACTTTGTAGGTGACAGCTGACATCTGTCCAAAAAGGAGTGCATTTTCCTGATATCAGCCAAGAAGGGAAAAGTTAGGTTCTCAGAGAGGAAGTCAGACTCTGAGAGTTGGGCCTCAGGACTCTGATGGAAAATGAGGAAAGGATTTTATAAGCTAGGCTTTCTAGTTTTTGTCTCCCTCTGTACCTATTTTCCTTTATTTCTTGATTATGAGGAAATCAATAGAAAGAGATTCTGCCTACAGGAAATGACAAAGAGGTAAGAAGGTAAACTTCAAGAGAAATCCAATCAAAGTATAGACTCTCAACAAGGCAAGGTTGTCGAGCTCTTTATGAGCACGTCCTGACCATAGCAAAGACAACCTTGCTAGTATAAATGAGTGGAAGTAAGAAAATCAGAAGCAAGCTTAATTTATTATTGGTGTATCTTGATGGAATGTGAGGCAGGCCCTTGATGATGATGGACAAGGCCAAGGAGGTAAGTCTAGGTAAAGAGAAGTGAAAGAGAACTCTCAGTGAAACTTGGTGATATTTACATTAAAAAGATAAAAAGAAACAGACAGGAAGGGAAGTATAGAAGGAGTAGTTAGAGGGACTTCCCCAGTGGTCCAGTGGATAAGACTCTACACTCCCAATGCAGGGGGCCTGGGTTCGAAAGTAGATTATGCATGCTGCAACTAAGAGTTCGTATGCTGCAGCTAAAGATCTTGCATGTCCCAACTAAAGATACCACATACCACAACTAAGACCTGACACAGCCAAATAAATACATAAATATTTACAACAAAGAGTAGTTAGAGAGATGGGAGGAAGTCTAAGATAGTACTCGCACTAGAAATCTCCGAGGTAGACTTTAGAAAAGAGGGACCAGTTCTTATTGATGCTCACATGAGGGCTCTGGGCAGTCAGTTCTGAAATTTCCAACAAAGGTGCCATGTCCAGGCTGACAGGGAGGGCTGTTTATCTGAAGTCCTAATGAGGGGAGAGGGAGAAGAAACCAAATATTTGTTGACTGTAGCCTAAGTTGTAAAGGCTGACTGGTGAGAGGAAGCTAGACAAGAGAGAAAAATTAAGGAATTTAGTGGCCCAGGGGTTTGAAGCACATCAAAATTGGGTTCAAGATGCTGGTCAACATAATTAGTGAATGTTGAGTGTTGCCAGAATCTCACTTCACTTGGTTCATGTGGCCATGGGAGGGACCTAGGTACTCACTATACAGTAATCTGACAGTAAACACGTTCATGGCACCCACTATCAGAAGCAAAGTCAGGGAGAACACAGTACAGTTAGGTAAGAAGAGTAGATTCTGTGAATTCTGGTGATGGCAGGAGGCTCGAAACTTTTCTGTAAAGGTCAAGGCATTATATTTTAAATATGGACCTGACAATGTTCTCTTTTCTTAGGTTGAATTTATTAAAGAAATTCGTTCTGTGGGGGAAGGGGTGAAGTCTGAATTTTTTCACTGTATATTTGAATCTATGACCAAGGAAGAGTATGGAATGTTCATATATCCTGAAGAGGATTCCTACATGTGGTTTCCTGTCAACGTAAGTCTCTTAGTTGTTTTCTTATGGTTTTTCAGAACAGAAAAAGTATACCATATATTGTAAATGAACACAATACCTGCTAATGTAAAATTAGGTCACATAAAGCCTTGCTACTCAAAATGTGGTCCACAGAGTGAAAGTTCCAGCATTACCTCCAACTGTTAGCAAAGCAGAATCTCAGGCCCTGATCAGAATATATATATTTTATAAGATCCCCAGGTGATTCGTATGAACATTAAAGTTTTAAACAGCTTGAATAAGGTGTATTTGAGATATGATAAATGGTACATAAAATGTCCACTTTGATACATTTTGATGTACATCTATGCCCATGAAATTCAAGACAATGAAAACAAAAGACAGTGAACACATCCATCAACCACTAGAGTTTCCTCAGCTTCCTTTTTGTTCCTGCTTCTCCCTGCTTCTATTCCCTGCCCCATGCCTATGCAACCACTGATTCGATTTCTGTCACTATAATTTGAATTTACTAGAATTTTACATAAATGGAATCATAAGTAGTCTTTGTATCTGTCCTTTCACTCAGCATAATGATATTGAGAATCATGTGTGTTGTATGTATCATAGTTCATTCCCTTCTATTGCTGAGTAGTATTCCATTCTTTAGATGTATTACACTTTGTAGAATATTGGGTGGTTTCCTAAATTTTTTTTTTTTTTTTGGTTTCCTGAATTTTAAGAGGCAGTAATCTAGAGTTTCAAACTAGGAGAGAAATTGTTAACAGAATCCTAGAGATAATTGCTAATTCTAATAAGATGATTCATTTCTGCAATGATTATATTTTTACAAAGATTCTCTATATGTAAACCTTTTCTGAAAGTAGTAAAAACTTCATTTCTCTATTAATGTGTATGTGTGTTAGTTACTCAGTCATGTCTGACTCTATGTGACCACGTGGACTGTAGCCCACCAAAGTTCTCTGTCCATGGGGTTCTCCAGGCAAGAATACTGGACTGGATTGCCATGCCTTCCTCCAGGAGATCTTCCCAGCACAGAGATTGAACCTGAGTCTCCTAAATTGCAGGCAGACTCTTTACCAGCTGAGCCACAAGGGAAGCCTTCTCTATTAGTAACACAGAGCAAATAATTTTAACAAGAATCACATGTTGAACTTCAATTTATTGATCTCCTTTCCCATAAACTTCCAAATACTCTTTCAAATGTTATGGTGGAGTTTGGAACCCAGAAGGAAAAGGGTACAGGAAGAGAACATGAATGGGAGTGAAAAAGTACTAAAAGATGTTTTGTATCTTCTTGGAAGGGCTTCGCAGGTGGCTCAGTGGTACAGAATCTGCCTGCTAATGCAGGAAGCGTGGATTCGATCCCTGGGTGGAAAAGATACCCGAGAGAAGCCACCCACTCTAGTATTTTAGCCTGGGAAAATCCATGGACAGAGGAGCCTGGCAGGCTACAGTCCATGGGGTCCCGAAAGAATTGGACACAATTTAGCAACTAGATGTTTAGCCACTAAACATGTTTTTGAGAAAGAATGAATCTCCAAAAGATAGGAGTGGCTAAGGTGTGCCATTGGTAGGTTCAACCAGCAAGTTTTTACTGGCTGTTTCTTGAAGTTCCCACATTGTATTAAATACAATAGAAGATTCAGATTAATGGATAACACAATCTATTTCCTTTGAAAACCTTTTGTATATGTAGGTAGAGGAATAAGACTAAAATACCAGAAACTTCAGCAATTTTTTGAAATTTTGTACTGCTGACTTTGTGTTGTAATCAATTCAGTTCAGTTCAGTTGCTCAGTCGTTTCTGACTCTTTGCAACCCCATGG